TTGGCTGCTTGGAAAGCCATTGGTGCCGATGCCCGCACGTTGCACGTGTTGAAGCATGGTGTTCCGGTTGAGTTCCTGGGAGATCGTCCGCCGCCTGCGTTTGATCTGCCCAGTTTCCCGGTCACTATTGAGCAGAGCCGTTGGTGGTTGGAGAAGGAGGAGCCGCGGTTGATTGCCCTTGGTGCCATTTCCCGCGTGGAGGCTTCTGCAGCAGCGAATCATGTGGTGAACGCGTTCTGTGTGCCTAAGCCAGGCAGTGGGTCGTGGCGTGTTGTTGTTAATCTGAAGCGCATGAATATCGCGCAGAAGGCGTATAAGTGTCGCTATGAGTCGCTCCGTACGCTGCGGCGGATGGGGATTCAGAACTCGTGGATGGTCAAGGTTGATCTAGCTGATGCTTTCTATCATATTCCCATTCGTGCAGCTGATCGTCGCTTCTTCGTGTTTCGTTTCTGTGGGGTTTTGTATCAGATGAATGCGCTGCCCATGGGCTGGCTCAATAGCCCTTACTGGTTTTCAAAAATCATGCGTAACGTCGTTCGTTTTTGGCACGACCCCCTGGCGGCGGTTGGTGGGGGGCGGCGGCGTCTCTCGCCCCCCTTGCCTCCGCACCAGTTCTTCCCTTCCGACCGGTGTGCGCGGCCGGCGAGGTTGGGTGCGCGCGTGTTGCCGTACTTGGACGATTTCTTGTTTGTTTTCGCGTCCGAGGAGCAGGCCCGGTTGGGTGCGCAGTGGGTCAGAGAGAGCATCGAGTTCCTGGGTTTATCGTGCCATCCCACCAAGTGCCAATGGGAGCCCTCGCAGTCGGTTTACCATTTGGGCATTACAGTTAATACTGCGGAGGGGCTGTTTGAGGTGCCTGCGGGCAAGTTGGCCAAGTTGCATCGGTTAGCTGTGGGGCTCCGGGTTACGGCCAAGAAGAATCACCGTCTGGTTCAGAAGCGTGAGTTGGCGCAGCTGTGTGGTTTTGCTCAGAGTGTGAAGCTCGCCCTCACCCCCGCCCCCCTGTTTCTCCGTAATTTCTACGATGATCTTGCGCAGCCGGTTGGTTGGTCCGGTAAAGTGCGGCTGTCCCGTGGGTCTATGCGGGACCTAGATTGGTGGGCGGAGGTTCCCACCCGCCATTGTTCGGCAGCAATCCATTTGGGACCGGCGGCGGTTGAGCTGTCGGTGGATGCGTCCCGCCACTCTTGGGGTGCTGTGTTGCATGGTCGCACCGCGCGAGGTTACTGGTCGTTCGATGAGATTCCCGCACACATCAATTGGAAGGAGTTGCGGGCTGTGCGTTACGCTCTGGAGTCTTTTCTCCCTCTCGTTCGGCAGCGTGTTGTGTTGATTCGGGAGGATAACACCTGCACTCAGGCAGTTCTGGGTCGCCTGTCTTCGCGGTCACCAGCTATGCACGCGGAGTTGCAGTGTCTGTGGGAGTTCCTGCAAGAGCACAGCATCGTTTTGCAGGTGGAGAGGGTCGAGAGTGCGGCAAACGAGGCGGATGCTGCCTCCCGTTGGATCGATCGGGATGATTACCGCCTGCACCCCCGCTATTTTCGTCTCCTAGAGCGTCTGTTTGGGCCGTATGATGTGGATCTGTTCGCCTCGCATCTCAACACGCATGTCCCGCGTTTCTTCTCGCGTTTTCACTGCCCCGGTTCGGCCGGCGTGAACGCCTTGCTTCAGCCCTGGGGTGGTTTGAATGCTTACGGCTGCCCGCCCTTGGATCCGGATGTGTTGTTGGCCGTGGTGCAGAAGGTGCGCGAAGAGAGGGCGTGCGTCACTTTGGTCGTGCCATACTGGACGGCGCAACCTTGGTGGCAGTTGCTGATGGAGCTGGCGGTGGACATAGTGTTTCTCCCCTCGAACACGGAGCTGTTCGCACCGGGGGAAGGGGGGTCGAGCCGCTTCCTGCCGCCCCCGCAGTGGCAGGTGGTGGCGGTACGAGTGCAGTGATCGACTGGGCCCTCCTGCGCGGCACACGCAGTGGTTCTGCCCCGGTTCCCCGTTATGCATTAGACTTTCATGCTGCGGCTGCTCCCCCGGTTGTCACGAA